AAAATAAGTACCTGTGGTCTCTGTTTTACGATTTTTTTACAAATATAATTCATTGTTATTTAACAATGTTTGCAACTATCCTGAAATTTATTTCACCCTTACCCTCGTTTCTCTAGGAAATTTGCCGAAAATAAGTACCTGTACCCTTACACAGTGTAACAACTCAAAATGATGTCAGTTTATATATATATACCACCTGACGTAAGAACGGAATTCGGACCCCTATATCACTCCACCGGGACAAATCCGAATGCCGACGTGACCCCCCCCCCAATTGAGCACCTTAAGGGTACATGTCGGTGTGAAGAAAATCGGTCCAGCGGTTCGCCAGTTACACGAAGACACACAGACGTTCGTCAAATAATGATTTCAATAAAACGAAATCACTTAGAAGTAAACAACCAGACAGTTGTGGCCTATCTTCAACGAACTACGTTGACAGAAACAAAAGAACCCTTGTATAAAGTAAGTATTAACACTGCGAAACACATCAACAAGCGTCTGTAAAATGGACAAGGGAACGCTGTTTAAAAACTAGGACAAAGATGGCAACAAGCAAAAGCCACGATGATAAAGGATCCTTTTTATTTTACAACAGTGAACAATAATAGTAGTTACGTATCCGACATAAGCTTCGCATCCATTGATAAGGTCACGGTGATTTTCAGTTACAGAGGTTTTCAAAGCTCGAATAATGTTTACGTTGTAGTTTGTTAAATATTCAAATGACACTTAGTCGTTACTATCGCTATGAGAATTCCAGATACAGAGTATAAATTACTGGATAATTCGTGTCTCTTTGTCCTCTGATACAGAGTAGCAAGAACTACCATCTCGTGCTGCTCTGACAGATTCTGCAAATCATATACCGTTACACTCGTGTTCGCGTTAGTGGTCAGTATTTTCAATTTCATCCTTTTCAAAAACTAAGTTAAGTTATATCCAACTATAAAATTGACTCATACATGATCTACATAGAATAAAAGGAATTGTCTTTACCTTTCCATAACGTGCAGCGTAAGAACCGGTTAAGAGGGAGTGAAATATTATGATGGTTTCGTCCAAGTTCCAAATAAAAACCCTTTCCAAATCGTTATCTGGATCTGGAGAGGGGTTGTTTTGTCGCCTACCACGTCCTCGACCACTCCTATTACTCCCTGAAATGTTACATAAAAAATAAATATACATCAAAATAATCTATTCAAGAAGGTGCAAACTGAGTGCATTGAGATGTGATATATATAGACACACATACATAAACATGCATCAAAACACTCTGTTCAACAAGTCCCCCCAGTGGGGTGGTAGTAAATTTAAAGACTTATACGGCTAAACTCTGAGGTTCGATTCCCGTGGTGAACACAGGCAAATAGCCCAAAGTAGCTTTGCTCTAACACATCAAAACACTCTGTTCAACAAGTCCCCCAGTGGGGTGGTAGTAAATTTAAAGACTTATACGGCTAAACTCCGAGGTTCGATTCCCGTGGTGAACACGGCAAATAGCCCAAAGTAGCTTTGCTCTAACACAACAAACAAACTGTTCAAGAAGTTGCAAACTTTGAGTACATGGACGCTTCACAACAAGTGTTCAAACTTGTTATAACTCAGATTTTTACGTCTTCTCGCTAGTAGTTATCATTAATTATCTTATACAAGCCAATTACCTATATAGGTAGGAACTACTAATGAACACAGTAATTAATATATCGTTCTTATCTATAATGATTAGTTTGTACTTAAGCACGAAATCTGTGCTGTGCCCACCACGGGTATCTAAACCCAGATTCTAGTACCGTCACTGCTTGCGATATTTTCAGCCGTAATCCCATTAATATCTGACGAGGTCAGACTGGTTTAGAAAATTTAGGCTTGTCCTCAATCGATATATTGAAGTAATAACTAGTTTTCCAAAACCTTTATAACACGTATTCCTATCTAAATATGTACAATGTGTATTTAGCCCTTCTGATAAGTGCTTGTTATCTAAATATCTAACCGACTACAATGTGTATTTAGCCCTTCTGATAAGTGCTTGTTCTCTAAATATCTAGCCGACTACAATGTGTATTTAGCCCTTCTGAGAAGTGCTTGTTATCTAAATATCTAACCGACTACTTGTTCTTTCGTTATTTCATGAATAAAGTAAACGTGTTAGAGACAAAGATACAAATTCAATATTCCCGTTTATCTTTTTAGTCGTTCTCCCAGTTGAACAGTCGGTTAGATATTTAGATAACAAGCACTTCTCAGAAGGGCTAAATACACATTGTAGTCGGCTAGATATTTAGAGAACAAGCACTTATCAGAAGGGCTAAATACACATTGTAGTCGGTTAGATATTTAGATAACAAGCACTTATCAGAAGGGCTAAATACACATTGTAGTCGGTTAGATATTTAGATAACAAGCACTTCTCAGAAGGGCTAAATACACATTGTAGTCGGCTAGATATTTAGAGAACAAGCACTTCTCAGAAGGGCTAAATACACATTGTAGTCGGTTAGATATTTAGACAACAAGCACTTATCAGAAGGGCTAAATACAAATTATAGTCGGTTAGATATTTAGACAACAAGCACTTCTCGTAAGCGCTAAATACACGTTGTAGTCAGTTAGATATTTAGATAACAAGCACTTCTCAGAAGGGCTAAATACACATTGTAGTCGGTTAGATATTTAGACAACAAGCACTTGTCAGAAGGGCTAAATACACGTTGTAGTCGGTTAGATATTTAGACAACAAGCACTTCTCAGAAGGGGTAAATACACATTGTAGTCGGTTAGATATTTAGACAACAAGCACTTCTCAGAAGGGCTAAATACACGTTGTAGCCGGTTAGATATTTAGACAACAAGCACTTATCAGAAGGGCTAAATACACGTTGTAGTCGGTTAGATATTTAGACAACAAGCACTTTCAGAAGGGCTAAATACACGTTGTAGTCGGTTAGATATTTATACAACAAGCACTTCTCAGAAGGGCTAAATACACATTGTAGTCAAACTTCATTGCACCTAACAAAGTATAAATAACAAGAAATCCTTAGTTGTATTATTATAACTGTCTGCGAAGCAAGGGCGAAAATGTCTTTTCATTATTGTTACATTTTTCAATGCATTTTCCCCTCTATATCAGCAACACACACGCTCCAATTAAACAAAGAATATAGTCAAAATAAAAATAAAATCAACGGAACTTGTTCTGAACTGATAAAACCAGACTGTGCAATCCTGAGAATATAATAGTTTGTAAAATAGATAACATTAACACCTAAAACCTACCTTTCTTCACTGTCCCATTTGTTGTGTCGTTCTTTAAGGACAAGTTGCTCTCTGGATTAAATTGAGGGCTAGCTGCAAGAATCGAAAGTTTATTTTTGTTTTTGTAGAAATTATGAACATTGTTTAAAAGACAAGAAAAGATGCAAAAATAATAATATCAGGTGTATTTTTAATTATTCCATTTACCTACCGTCTAATGATAAGTTACGACTTAGAAACAATTTCCTACGTATATATATTTCATTAAATGCACAGAATCATAATAACACCTCCACCTTACCTCTGCTTGGGACGTTAGGCGTTGGCCCCATCTGGTAAGATGTGTTAGTAGGAGCCCCAGTCATTCCAAGAGAAGAGCTACAAGTGGGTGACTGAACACACGGACCGTATCCTTGTGATGGGTAGTAAGCGTATCCAGCTTGGCCATAACTCGTGTAGGAATTATAGTCTATGGCCTAATCAATAACAAGACACGTTGATTTTTATAACACGCTAAATATGTCAAACAATCTAAAGATAACCACAAAATCTACTTCTGAAGAAACAAAAAACATGGCAAAACCGATAAAGATGAACAATTGAAATTATTTAGTTGTTTTTTACAATTCTTACTTTATTTGTTACTGTCTCCTTATTATTTCGGTGGCTTCTAAATAGTTGATACAATAGTACTAACAACATCCAAGTGTTATAAAGTTCAACTCGAGTTATTAAACTATTATAATCATTTTATTACAAGTTACAGATTTTACAGTAAGTAAAATTTGTTTTTAGAACAGGTACGACGTTTCGATCATGCTTGTGTACTTGAGAATGATCGAAACGTCGTACCTGTTCTAAAAACAAATCTTACTTACTATAAATGTTTAACTTGTAATAAAATAATATTTAATGAGTAAGTAAACGATAACCAAAAATATAAGCTATTATAATATATATATATATATATATATATATATATATATATA